TGTTGGAAATGCAGTATTTTAGGCCCATTCCTGACCGACAGAATCAGAGTCTGCATTTAACAAGGTCCCCAGGTAATTTGTATACACACTGATTTTACAGATGTGGTTAAATGAAAGATTTTTAGATGGTGAGAATATTCTCAATTACCTGGGTGGGTCCCATGTTATCATAAGGGTCCTTATAAGTGAAAGAGGGAGGCAGAAGAGTCAGGAGATAGGATGATTAAAGCAGAAGTCTGACGTGACAGCAGGCTTTGAAGATGAAAGGGATTCAAGAGCAGGGGACTGTGGGCAGCCTCTAGAAGCTGGAAAGGCAACGAAACAAATTTTTCCTTAGAGCTTCCAGAAGATACACAGCCCTGCTGACACTTTAATTTTAGGCCAGTGAGATCCAGTTTGGATTTCTGTAAAAGAATAAAACTGGGTTGCTTTAAGCCACCAAGGTTGCGGTAACTTGTAATAGCTGCAATAGAAAACTAATTCAGTTTGCTTTTTTTTCTTTTTTTCTAATTGATTTGAAGATGTTCTTTATGTATTATGGATACAAATATCTTTTGTATTTGTATTTGTAATTTCCTAAAGGAGGAAAGTTGGGTGCTTGGATGGGGAATGGATGCTCAACCAGTTATATATGGAACAAATATCTTCTCCCCGTTTGCACTGTATCCTCGCCCTTCATAGTCCCCCACCCTCACTCCCATCCGCAGCCCTTGCTCCACATGTCTGCAGTAGGACTCTTGGTTAACTTCCTTCTCCCCAGACAATAAACATAGTAAAAGCTAAACTACATGTGTTAGCAAGTGATAAGCATTATGAAACAAAACTGAGCAGGATATAGGAGAACTTGGGGTGAGGAAGAGCTGTAATTTTAAATAGGGCATGTCAGAGTAGGTCTTATTGAGAAGGTGATATTTTATAGGGATTTAGCCATATGGATATCTAGGGGAAGAGTATTTCAGGAAGAGGAGACAGTCTGCAAATGCCTTAAGACAGGAATGCGCCTGGCATTCCAGAAGAAGAGTAACAGCCATCCTCCAAGGAGCAGTGGGCTAGGAGGGGAGGAAAGAGGGTTCAGATGACAGGCTCATAGGCCTTAGAGTAAGTAAGGACTTTGGTTTTTATGTTTGTGAGATGAGGACACTGAATGGTTTTGAGCAGAGGATTGACAACTAACTTATGTTTTAAATGGATCACTCCGGCCGCCATGTTGAGAACTAATTGTCAGGAGGCAAGGATGGAAACATCATTAGGAAGCTATTGCAGTGATCTGGGGGAAAAAGATGGTGGCTGGGACCAGGAGAGCAGTAGTGAGAATCTGATGTGAAAGGAATCCCAGGATGATGAGGAGAGTCAAGGACGGCTCCAGTTTTTCTCCTGAGCAAGTGAAAGAAACTACTCATCACTTGAGATGGGGAAGTCTGCCAAGTAGAACAGGTTTGGGGTGCAATACCTGATATTGTTTGGGACATGCTGGGTTGGAGGGGTCTGTTAGACATCCCAGGGGAGATGTCAAGGTGAAAGGCTTTTTTTTTTTTAACATTTTATTTATTTATTTGTCAGAGAGAGAGCACAAGCAGGGGGAGCTGCAGGCAGAGGGAGAAGCAGGCTTCCCGCTGAGCAAGGAGCCTGATGCGGGACTCGATCCCAGGACCCCGAGATCATGACCTGAGCCGAAGGCAGACGCTCAACCGACTGAGCCACCCAGGCGTCCCAAGGTGAAAGACTTTTGAGTCTGGAATTCTAGAGAAAGGCCTAGGCTGGAGATTAAAAAATTGAGATGTTATTGGCAGATAGATGATGTATCAAGCCGTGAGCCTGGACAAGGTCATCAAAGGAGTGAATATGATAGAAAAGACAAGAGGACTGCTTTCTGTATTCACTCTAGTATTAAGAATTATTGGAGAGAGGAGGATGAACCAGTGAGGTAGAAGGGAAACCCGGAGAGTATGGTCTCCCCAATGCAAGTGAAGAAAGTATCAACCCGGTCAAATGCTACGGAGAGTTGGAGTAAGAGGGGAGTAAGAGGGGAACTGAGAATAACCGTTAGATCATTGATGACTTTGACCTTGATAAGAATAGTTTCAGTGGAATCTGCCTGTGAAAGACTGGCTAGAGGGGTTTAAGAAGAGAAAGGGAGGAAAGAAATTGTAGGCAGCTAGTATAGATGGCTATTTTGAGGAATTTTGCTCATGCTTGCAGAGAAATGGGACAGTAGCTGGTGGGGGAAGTAGAGTGGAGAATCTATTTTTTAAAGATGTGGGTTGACTCTTTCTTCAATACCCACAGCTTGTTGGATGCCATTCCAGTCCATTCTACTTGCATAAACTCCCAGATTTACTTCTCCTAGCCCGGTACCCTTGCACTATTTCAGGCTCTTGTCCTCTTGTGTGCATTGTTACAGTGTAGTCCAGTGTACCCACACTGCCACCAGGGGGGTCAGCCTGAAAACCACTGGCTGCAGTTCTCCCTTGCTGACTCTTTTCCTAAAGGAGGAAAGTTGGGTGCTTGGATGGGGAATGGATGCTATTTGTCGAGCATGAGTCGGGGTCCCAGCAGGAAAGAGAGAACACACTCCAGTTGGAATAATGTGAGGAGAATTGAATAAAGGGACTTTGTCTCAAGGGACTGGGCAGGGTGTAGGGAAACCACAAAGGTTACTGCAGTTTTCTGAGACTAGCACCTTGCTGGCGGTGGGGGGGGAGGGGTGCTGTGTTATCCCTAGGCTTGAAGAGGGTCACTGAAAGGGAGGGAATGGAAGATACCAGTACTGGATGGAAATCTCTGTGAGGCTCAAGAGAATTTTCCCCGAAAACCTGGAAGTAGGGTGGCCCCTGAGAGTTAGAAAAACCCACCCAGAACAGATGTGGGAGTAAGTCTAAGATGCTTGGTCTATGACTGTGTCTGAGGTGTTTGGGAACCAACTAAAAGCCATAGGGTGGTGGCTGGACTAGGATCCTGCTTGGGTGAGCAGAAATCCCATCGATTTTATTAAGGGAGCCAATAAAGGTAAAATGTTTATCGCAGTGTGTGGCACTAATGAAGTGGTTGCTGTTGTTAGGCTCAGCTTGGAGAGAGGCTATGTGAACTGAAGAGAGATCCCAGAGAAGGGGTGTCCCAAAAGTAGCTGGAGGAAACATACTCCAGCTCTGGTTGTAGCAAGAGTAGGATGGCCTGAATCCTTAGAATCAAGGGCTGGCCCTGTTGTGGGTGACAAGATCTCAAGGCTTTTTGGCTGAAAGTCTTTTCACACCATCTCTTCCTATCATGGGGTTTCCAGGTTCTGAACTAACCTGATAACTGGGCTTCCTAAGAAGCAGCTCAGACTGCCTTGCGCTGTTGATGCAAAAATTTAGGTGTGCCTGATGAGTTTTATTTCTCTGTGCAATTTAATCCCTGGGCTGGTAACTACACTTACCACCGTAAGCATTCGGTAATGTATATAATTGTTGAATCACTATGTTGTACACCCAAAACTAATGTAATATATGTCAACTACAGTGACAAATAAAAATTAAAAAAAATAATACCTGGCCTTCTGGGGTTTGTATATAAACCTTTATTCAGGTCATATGCCAGCCCTGTATAGGGAATTGGAGCTACTCACTGCACCGATGAAATTGGGTTTTGGAGCCAGAGGCCTGCACCCTACACCCCTCAAAACATCAAAGGTGCCCACCTTTAGCCGATCTACTTTGGGCCAATTAGTCTGCAGCAAGTAGGAAGAGTCAGAATGAGGAAGGAAGTTCTAGCTAGAAGGGGTAGGCAAGGCTCAAGGGCATAGCCAGAAGAGGAGTCCGCTAAAGTCTTGGTCCCACCTTAGGCCCCTCCTCCTCCTGGAAGCCTGCCTTGATCCTTGCTCCACCCATGGGATAGATAGGTGCCCTCCCATGCACATTTCATGGCCCTGGTGACACTGGGTAGGGAGTTACCGGTCTACTTCTGACATATCTGAGCTTCTGGAAGGTTAGGACAATGTCTTATTTATCTTTGTAGCCCAGGGGGCCTGATAACAAAATGATTACTCAGTTAATGTTTCCCTGATTGCATGATTGAATGAGTGAGACAGACACAGTATGATAGATGAATTAAGGACAAGATGGTGGACTATAAACCCAAGAGGGTACAGCACCTACTGCCTGTTGTGATGTAATCCCCAGTGCCCGGCACAGTGCCTGGCAGTCGGTGCCCAGAGTGTCCCGGATGGGCTGACCAAGGGTCAGATCCCCCTTGCCTGTTTGTGCAAGCCTACGCAGACCACCCCTCTCTCCTTGCCACTGACCGCAGGCCCATTAAAATCTAGTCCCCGAGGCGGCACCGGGTCGTGCCTAAGCTTTGTTCCCTGTTGCTACATATGTAGGGTCTTGTCTTTCCCTCTGAAGGAAGTGTCCCAGGGCAGGGGTGCTTCTGGCCCTGTCCGGCTAAGGTACCAGGACCTGCAGCGGCCAGTATCCCAGGCCTCACAGGCTTCTTCCCAGAGGGCGCTGCTGGCACTGGGGGCCCCCTCCGGAGAACAATCCCCAGGCTGCGCCACGGCCCAGTTTCATCCAGTCTCGCCAGAGTCGGGGTGGAGGGGTATGGGAATGGGAAGCGGCTGTCTGCGGCTCTCCCAGCACCCTTCTTAAACCCCCTGCCCCGGGTCTCGGCTCTGGCGCCCTCCTCACAAGCCCTCACTTTGCAAACTTTCGGAGTTTTCCTCCACTTGCGTCATGGGAAAGGCAGGAGGGTGACAGAAGCCAGGAGGCGAGGCGGTGGAGGCGCTCAAGCCCCTCGGGTAAGAGGTGTCTCCCCGCGAGGGCGGACGGGCGGGGGGTCCTGGAGGGTCCCGGTGCCTTCCCTCAAGCCCATCCCGGAGCGCCAGAAGAAAAGCGGCGAGGAGTAGGCGGGGGCCCGGGCTGCGGGGCCCCAGGCCGCGGGAGGGCGGAGCCGGGCAGTCCCTGCCCAGACAAGACGCACGGAAGTGCTGTGGAGTTTGCCCAATTCCCCAGCCTGGTTTTCCTCCCTCCCTCCCTCTCCCCACCCCTCACCTCCCCCTCGGCTCTTCCCTCCTTTCTCCGGACGCCACCTCCCGGAATCCCTTTTTTCTGTTGTTTTGGAGCTAGCTTCTCGCTGGCGGCGCGGAGGGGCTGCGAGTGCTGGACGAGGAGGCGGGCTGGGCGCACAGCCCGCCACCCACCGGCCGGACACCGTGGGGCCGAGCGGACGACTGACCGCCAGCCGGTCGGGCGCGCCATCTGCTCGCCGGAGCGCACTCTCCAAACTCCTGTTGAGTGTGTGCGTGCACGCCAGGGCTGGGGGTCTGTACGACCTGCGCGCCGGGACCGGGGACCGCGGGGGTTACCTTTGGATGGGGTCCTTGGACTCAGGTCAGGGTTAGCTTCAGGCTCAGAAACTGCTGAGGAGCTAGGCAAACAAAAGAGGCCACTCTGCTAGTGGCCAGAAGTCGCCAGAGCGCCTCGTCGCGCCCCCTCCTTCCCTAGGGTGGGGGCTGGCCCCTCGGGAGGCGGGGAGAAGCCTCCTGAGCCGGCTGAGGGCTTGGGGGCCCGGGGGCTGGGGGCCGGGCCAGACCGGGCTGGGCCGCCGGGGTCGACGGAGTTGGCGGCCTGTTGTGTAAGCCTCAGTCCTTGTTTTCCCCAGCCTGGCTGGCTGGGAAGCCGGACACATCCACCCTTGGCCTGGATTCAAGAGGCTGCTGCTTTTCTCCATGCCCCTCTTGGATTTTCTGGATATTTGAAAACCCACTGGCCCAGGAGGAGGAGGAAGGAGCAGATCTGCAGAGGAATGTGAGGGAAGCCAGAAGGAGCTGGGAGCCAGAGCTGCCTGGATTTCTGGAACGGTGGTTTCTGAGTGATTCTCTTCCATTTCAGAACATTGTTCCAGTGGAAAGTGTCAAACAAATTCTTGCCCTTTCAGAGCTGATTTCTCCAAGTCACTTGACTTTTCTTCTGGGAGGGGAAGGAAGGAGAGACTGCCCGTTCTGGGGCTGCCAGGGGAAGGGAGGCAGATTATGGACATGATCCCTCCCTGCTCACAGCAGTGTGCTGGAGACCTAATAATAATAGGGCAGTTAATGGGCCGCGGACATTGCTTTGAGTAGTGGGAGGCTGGATAGCATCTGTGGGTGCTGAGACCCCAGTTTAGGGGCTGAGAGACTTGAGTTGCTGTGACAGGCCTTGAGCTACTAGTGCATTCTCAGTTCTGGGCGGGACCCTGTCTCATCTCTCTCTACAACTGGCCCAGCCATGGCGCTGAAAGGCCGAGCCCTCTATGACTTCCGCAGCGAGAACAAGGAGGAGATCAGCATCCATCAGGATGAGGACCTGGTCATCTTCAGTGAGACCTCGCTGGATGGCTGGCTGCAGGGCCAGAACAGCCGAGGTGAGACGGGGCTCTTCCCTGCCTCTTACGTGGAGATCATCCGGTCTGGTCCCAACTCCAACCATGCCGACTACTCCAGCAGCCCAGGCTCTCTGGGCACCCAGGTGAGCTCGTATGACGTGACCAGCCCTTCCAGGAGTGGTGGGGGCAGTGGCTTCCTCTCACACCAGGGCAGCTTCGAGGAGGACGATGACGACGACTGGGATGACTGGGACGATGGATGCACAGTGGTGGAGGAGCCTCGGGCTGGTGGGCTGGGCACCAACGGGCACCCTCCTCTCAACCTCTCCTACCCTGGTGCCTACCCCAGCCAGCACATGGCCTTTCGGCCCAAGCCAGCCCTGGAGCGGCAGGACAGCCTGGCATCTGCCAAGCGTGGCAGTGTGGTGGGGCGCAACCTCAACCGTTTCTCGTGCTTTGTGCGCTCTGGAGTGGAGGCCTTTATCCTGGGTGATGTGCCCATGATGGCCAAGATCGCTGAGACGTACTCCATCGAAATGGGCCCTCGTGGCCCCCAGTGGAAGGCCAACCCCCACCCGTTTGCCTGTTCAGTGGAGGACCCCACCAAACAGACCAAATTCAAGGGCATCAAAAGCTACATCTCCTACAAGCTCACACCTACCCACGCTGGCTCGCCAGTCTACCGGCGCTACAAACACTTTGACTGGCTCTATAACCGCCTGCTGCACAAGTTCACTGTCATCTCGGTGCCCCACCTGCCAGAGAAGCAGGCCACAGGTCGCTTTGAGGAAGACTTTATTGAGAAGCGGAAGCGTCGGCTCATCCTCTGGATGGACCACATGACCAGCCACCCCGTGCTGTCCCAGTATGAGGGCTTCCAGCATTTCCTCAGCTGCCTGGATGACAAGCAGTGGAAGATGGGCAAACGCAGGGCAGAGAAGGATGAGATGGTGGGTGCCAGCTTCCTGCTCACCTTCCAGATCCCCACGGAGCACCAGGACCTGCAGGATGTGGAGGACCGTGTGGACACCTTCAAGGCCTTCAGCAAGAAGATGGACGACAGCGTCCTGCAGCTCAGCACCGTAGCATCCGAGCTGGTGCGCAAGCACGTGGGAGGCTTCCGCAAGGAGTTCCAGAAGCTGGGCAATGCCTTCCAGGCCGTCAGTCATGCTTTCCAGATGGACCCCCCCTTTAGCTCCGAGGCCCTCAACAGTGCCATTTCTCACACGGGCCGTACCTATGAAGCTGTTGGTGAGATGTTCGCTGAGCAGCCCAAGAACGACCTCTTCCAGATGCTCGACACGCTGTCTCTCTACCAGGGCCTGCTCTCAAACTTCCCCGACATCATCCACCTGCAGAAAGGTAAGAGCCAGAGTGGGCAGGAGACCCCTGCTGAGTCTGCGCTCTGCTGGGCACTGGGGATCTGAGGATGGCCTAGGGGAATGGAGCAGGCCATCTAGTCTTTCTGTCTCATTCATTCATTCCACAGTGTGTCGAGCACCTGCTACGGGGCAGGTGCTAGTCTAGGTGCAGGGATATTATCGTAGACAGCTCTGGTCTCTGACCTCATGGAGCTCGCTGTTTACCTTGTGCTGTCCAATTGTTTGCTCGTGCATTCCTTTTTTTCTGTTTCTGTCTCATTTGCTCATCTATCCATTTTGTGCTGAGCCTAGGTATCAGGTATCAGGCTGATCAAGGTATCAGGCTGAGTCTGGGAACACGGAGATGACTGGGGCCCAGGCCTTGCCCTTGAGGAGTCCACAGGCTCGTGGGGGACAGGGACACAGATAACAAGAGCACAGAGCGTGGCCTGTCTTCCCACTCCTCTCAAGCTCCACTCCCTGCCCCTGTGGCTTCAGAGCCTGTTCTTCCCACCACATACCCTATCTGTGAGCTCCCTGTCTGTGTGCGGGAGGCTCGCTGTCCCCATTTTGCAGATGAAGAAGCTGGTGTCCACAGAAGGCTGGTTGCACAGGGAGTCCGTGGCCCAGCTGAGACTGTCCCTTCCTCCTGCGCCTCCCCGAGGACACGTCCATGTTGGCCAGTTCCCAAGCCCAGCTGTGTTTTCAGTTCTCATGGCCCCCCTCCGTGGGGCAGGGACAGGATGGGCCCCTGTCTGTTACTGTTGGGCCGTCAAGGAACTGCCAGGGAAGTGACTCATCCCAGGTCACCTAGGGGCACCCAGACTGGTCCAGGGGAGCAACAGGGCTTCAGGGCACTACCCACATGGCCTATCCAACTCCCCCTTCCTGAACCTGGTTTCTCTTGCCTGAGCAGTGAGTCGGGCTGACCTGGCAGGTGGCTGAGTCCTGGGACAACAGGCAGGGCCGATGTCAGGAGAGAGGTGTGGTCCTCCCTGGGGCTGCTTGGTAACTCAGGAAGAACGTCTGCAGGGCGTGGGGCTGGCTCCCTGGCCCCCAGGCCCTGAGGTCAGGCCTGGCTTGGTGCAGAGTTTTCCTCTGGGTGGGGCCCCGAGGCAGACCTCTGGACTGAGCCTGGGGGACAGCAAACACCACCCTCTGCCTCAGTATCCCGGAGAGTCGGGAGTAAGCCAGCCCTGCTCTACTTTACCAGGAGATTGACTTCCAGAACTTCTCCATCTCCCAGGCTCCTTTCTCCCCTCACTTTCTCATTCTCCTTCCTTTCCCTGCCCTTTCTCCTCACCTTCACGTTCCTGGCCTCCTTTCCTCTCCTTTCAGCAGCAGGAGACACGAGCCCTGGGTTCTCGTTTTGGCTGTGTCCCCACTTTGCTGGGTATTCCTGGGACGTGCCTCCTCCTCTCTGGACCTTAGTTTCCTGATCTAGAAAACAAGAGAGGGTCGAGCCACTGAGCTCTCAGGAGGGGAGACTCCTGGGGAGGATCTGGTCAAGAACAGAGTGATGCCTTAGAGTGGATCTCTGAGCTCTGGGGCAGGGATGTGGCAGAGGGGGCCGGCCAGGGCCCCGTGGGGCAGGTGTCTCCCTGGGCGGAAGTGGAGGCATGGTCACTGCTGCGCTCGGGCCTGGGAAAGCTCGTTCAACCAGCTCCTTGGCAAGCATGTTTCTGTGTGGGCAGTGGCTGCGGTCAGTCCCCCAGGGCAGAGCTGGGGGCAGGCAGGAAGGCAGCCCTTACCCAGCCAGGGCTGCCAGACTGCACTAAAGCAGGAAGAGGTGAAGCCACACTGGCCTTTCTGACTCCGGGGCAGGGACACAGAGCTGAGAGAGGCCATTTCTGAGTTTTTCTACTTGCTTTCAACCTTAGGCAGAGGCTCACCCACCTTCTCTCACCCTGAGGAGCCCTCCACAGTGGACCAACCCATTTGGGCCTACTCTTCCTCCTTCTGGACTGTGGTCGGGCAAGTTAGGGAGGGGGGCTTGGGATCTGGCTGAGACGGAATTGGGCAGGTTTGGGGGATGATGGGGGGAGGAGGAGTTCCATGCTGGCCCTGTGGCTGGGACCCTTTTTCAGAGAAAGGAGCAGGAAAGTTGGGTCTCAGGTCTCCAGAATTCTGTCTGGTCCACCCAGACATCTGAAAGATGGGAAGCGTGTGGCAGAGGCCATGGAAGGAAGGAGACAGGAGGCTTAGGTGGGGTCAGGAGGCCAGGGTCTGGACAGATATTGCTTCTGAGATGACCGTGAGGGTGTTTTTCTCCCCTCAGTGTCCCCCTTAGTAAAATGGATCGTGGAGTCTGCTTGGCACTGAGTTGAAGCCCACCAGTTCTGCCCCCTGGCCCAGCCCCCGGAGCGCAGTCCAGGGGTCTTCTAAGAGAAGAGGAACCATGTTACTAACCATCTAAACCCTGGCCAGTCTGGGGGTGAAGGGGGCCCCGGCCATAGTTACGCTGGGACAAGGGGAAATAGTACCTGTGCAGGGCCCCTCCCTGCGAGCCAGCCAGGGCAGGGAAGTTACTGTGGTCCCCTGCATTTTCCAGATGAGGCATAGCAAGGTGGGATGATACGCAGAGCAGGAATTGGGGCCCAGGGGTGTCACTGCACAGCCCAGGCTGTTTCCCCTGTGCCAGACAGATGGGGTGAAGGAGCTCCCCAAGGGATGGGTGCGTGGGTAGATGAGCCAGAGGGGGAAGGATGAGGGAGGCTGGGTACTCTAGTACTACTAACTCAGCTGCATGCTTGGTGGGCTGGAAGCAGGCCCAGGACTGCAGAGCGAACGTGGCCATGGGACTCAGGTTGGCCAAGGCAGCATGTCCCCTGCAGGACCTAGTGCTTGTCTGGGGGATGGGTGGGTCCAGCCTCTGGGTTCCAGGCCGTCATCACCTGGCCGCTTCTAAACCCTCCCCTCCTAGGGTTCCGTAAACAAAGAGAAGCCTCTTGCTACCAGCTACCACCAACTGGTTCTTGCTGTGACTGAAAAGCAGTCTGCACACGGTTGCACGCAGTGTCCTGAGCTCTGACTCTGTCGGGTGCTAGCCTAAGTGCTTTGTACAGATGAGTTCAGTTAAACCTTAACTACGCTATAGGGCGGGCACAGATACCCCATTTTTCAGATCTGGAAACTCAAAATCACTGTGCCACCGAGAACAGTTGTCAGCAGCATCAGACCTGGTCCAGCCTGTCCCGTTTGACAGCTGGGAGACCTCCAGCCCAGGCAAGAGCAGTGGCTTGCTGGAGGCGACACAGCTGGGACTAGAACTCAGACCTCCTGTCCCTGACCTGAGGGGGGTGAGTAATTACCTCGGAGAGGTGGGGGACAGGATGCATTGAGGCGGGAGCTTAAGGAGTATGCCTGGGACCCTGGGGCTCTGAAGCTTCCACCCCCTTTCCTGGTTCCTGGGATCCAGCCCATAGGACACCTGCCAGGGCAGGAGGCTCCCCTAGGTCCTGAGCTCTAGGGTTGAGTCCTACACAGAATGTAGTGGGGATGCTGGACGGGCCTGAACCCCCGACTCCCAGCCTGTCTCTGGGGTATGTTAGTGTTAGCTGGGCAGCCCCAGATCTGAGTCACAGGGTGGAGAGGTGACAGAGAGCAGGGTAGGACCTCCGCCTGCCCCCCCCCCCACAGTTTTTGTCCCCCGGCCCCGGCCCCCTCCCTGTCTGTGGATACCTAGCAATTTCAATAGATTCGTTTCTAGTACTTGGGCCTCTGTCTTCTCATCAATAAAAGGAGGCTTTCCTTCCTCGAAGGCTAGAAAAGCCCTGTGGGATACAGGTCCACCCTCACTGCACCCAGATTTTTTCAGGCAGCTGGAATCCAGGCTAGTTAGTGTCTCGTCTTCAAGTAGGTTCCTTGTCTGTTATCTGGGTCCCCACACAGATGGGGTGACTTGGGTGACCTGGCATGGGCTCTCTGCAGGAGATGTGGTGTCCACCCCCCACAGCCATGGAGGGGTACTGCTGGGCCCCCTTATATGGGGCACGAAGGAGGCTGGGAGCCCCTAGGCAAATCCTCCCCAGCAGGGCCTCAGTTTCCTCTGTACAAGGTGGGGGGTGGGCAGCTGGCCTCTAGAATCTCTTTCGCTCTGAAGTGTCTTACTGGGTCCCCGTGCTGGGCCTTGGGCTGAGCCCTCTTCTGCTGCCCACACCGGGGCAGCTGGGATGGAATAGGAGGCAGGAGGCGGCTCAGGGAGGGTGGCAGAAAGACTGAGTGGGTTGGGAGCTGGTGACTGCGGAGTTCTTTCGAGTGCTGTGTGAGTGGCCCTGGAGATCTCCAAACTTCTGTCTGTCTGCCCCAGATGCCCCCGTTAGCCAGTTAGCCATGCACTTGCCCGCTTATATGGGTGCTGCTCCTTCTAAAGGCCTCTGTAGTTACTTCCAGCATGTAGAGCCTTGGGCGTGACATAGAGTAAATGACCGAAAAAAGGATCTTGAATGCCTTGGACATCTTGAGTGAAGTCAAAAGAACACATCTTGGAGGCCCCCAGCGTGCTGTTGGTACGCATTGGATGCTTCTGAAGTGCTCAGGGGCGGGGGCGGGGGCGGGCGGGTGCTGTCCTGCATACTAAGCCTTCCTACACCCTTCCTCTGCTTCACACAGTGGATTCCCTGCAGCCCTGCGAGGGGTGAGGGCCAGGCACGGGCAAACTGCCTCCTCCTCCCGGCAACTGGCCCCACGGTGCACACGGTTCAAGTGCACAATTAGTCAAGTGCCTGTTAATTCAGAACTGAAATTCATTCACCAACTGCTTGCTGATTCATTCAGATTCTTCTAAATTGGGTCCCCTGCCCAGGTTTGTCCCCTGTCCCCCATCTGTCACCTGGTTATTACAGGGCCTCCTCTGGTCCCTCTAGGCTGGTGTGAGGAGGGGCAGGGCCCGTTTGTGGGGAGACACACACAAAGGAAAATACCAGGCGGCCTTCGAGGTGCTGTTTTAGAGTCAATAGTGTGATGGGGGTGGGGAGCGCCCTGGAGAGGGGTCGGGAGGCATTGCACCTAGGGGCACTGCGGGAGGCTCTGGTGTGGAGGTGGTGCCTGAGCCTGATCAGGGGCCTTAAATTATGCAGAAAGATCTAGCAGGCAGAGAGATGTGGAGGTAGGAAAGAGCAGGGTGAGTTTGATGAACATGGGGTCAGTGTGGAATGGGTGCGGGGGCCAACTCCCAGAGGGCCTCCCGGCTAGGCCAACGGGTAGGGACCTTCGTGTGCAGACAGAGGGGAGCTGGGAGAGGTCTGGAGCTTTGGGTGTCCATCTTGGCTATTCTTCAGGTACTGTGGAGAACCTCTCAGACACTGGGCCCAAGGTGGGAGCCCCTTAGGGGCCTGTTGTAGTAGTTCAGTGAGGAACAGATTGAATCAGCTCAGCAGACATGTACCAAGCTCTCCTGGGGGCCAGGCCTGGCCCCGGGTGCTGGAGACATTGAGCTCACAGACCAGAGGGAGACAGGCAGAGTGAGCACAGGGTGGTAAGAACTGTGGCTGATGGAAGCCCCGGGAACTTTGGGAGGCACCTGATGCCGTGGGGGCGCAGGGAAGGCTTTCTGGAGGAGGTGATGTCCGAGTCGATTAGGAGCCAGTGTGAGAGGCGATCGATGCCTGTGTTGGGTAAGGACAGCCCTGTCCTGGAACTCAATACAGCCAGCAGCGTTGTGACAGGCTGGGTGCCGTGGGCTGCTGACAGTGCCCCAGGTTCGGAGGGAAGATGTGCCAATGGTGAGGGCTTGGGGGCGGTCCTGGGGGAGACACCCAGGTGGCTGTCCCTGAGGGGACTCGTGGAGGGCATAGGGAGCAAAGGGGGGAGACCAGAGCCCTAATTCCCTTGTCCTCCTCCACTGTGCCCGTGCCAGGCGCCTTCGCAAAGGTGAAGGAGAGCCAACGCATGAGTGACGAGGGCCGCATGGAGCAGGATGAGGCAGATGGCATTCGTAGGCGCTGCCGCGTGGTGGGCTTCGCCCTGCAGGCCGAAATGAACCACTTCCACCAGCGCCGCGAACTCGACTTCAAGCACATGATGCAGAACTACCTGCGCCAGCAGATCCTCTTCTACCAGCGGGTAGGCCAGCAGCTGGAGAAGACGCTGCGCATGTATGACAGCCTCTGATCATGTGTCCCCGGCCCCCACCCTGTGCCTGGGCCTGGTCGCTGCAGTGCGCTCTGCTCTCTAGACTTACCTGCACCAGTAGTGGCTGGGAGGGTTGGGGCGGGCTTTGGAGGAGTCATGGGTCCCCCTGGGGAAGACCCCCAGCTCTTAGAGGTAGGGGTACAGCAGGGGTGAGATTTGGGGTCAGGAATCTTCTAGGCCGAGGCCTGGGCTGTGGGTCAGTCGCTTGAGGTCAGGCCATGGTCTTAGCTTCCCCTAGAATCTACAGAGCTCGCTCACCTGGCCACCACCCCCGTGTTCATTCAGTAGGCACCTGCTGTGGCCCCATGTCAGATGCTGGCTGGGTCCCAGGGCTGCGACATGCCTGCCCTCAGGGAGTCCCCAGTTGAGGTGGGGTCAGACACAGAAACAGACAAGGGCACCGGAGGGTGACTGATGGTAAATACGGGCTTCCTGGAAGCTTAAAGAAAGAACCACTCATTCTGCTGGTCAGGGAAGGCTCCACAGAATAGGTGACATTTGAGTAGTGTTTTGGAGAATGACAAGGACCTGCCCGACAGGAGATGGGGCCAGGGGTGGGGGGCACATTCAGAAGAGACGAATAGCATGGGCAAAGGTGAGAAGACGTGAAAACGCCCCATCTTCTCTCCCTTACTTTTCCCAAGTGATTTGGTGCCCCCTTGGTGGGGACTTTGGCCTGTGTGACAGAGGGGAGGGCTCTTCCTCCCATGTTCCCTGTCCCTGCCTCACCTTGTCCCCTCAGGAGGAGCTGCAGGCCAGCTCCCTCCTGACTCCCCTTCACCTGCTGAGCCTCCATTACCCCTTGGTTAGGGGACCATGCAGCATCTTTTCCCTGGGCTCGAGGTGCAGAGACAAGCCACTGACCCCAGGACCTTGGTGGCACCTTCCTGGAGAGGACACCCAGAAGTTACCAGATATTTGAATTCACCAGCAACGGCTCTTCACATTCTGAGCAGGCTCGGGCCCCAGTGCATCCCAGAATCCTTCCTGTTGCACAGAGGGAAGGCCAAGGGGAAGAAAGATGGGGGCGGGCTTGCCCACCGCCCCAGAAGTCCTGGGCCCACATGCTCATGGCCAGCCTCACTGTGATGCCAGCCCCGGCTCCCTCCCCAGCCAGGTTGTGCTGTCTCCCACCCATGTTTACATCCTCAGGGGGGCTACTCCCTCTGCCTAGGCCAGGGTGTGGGCCAGTGGGTTGGGGGAACTGACAGGTGCCACTGCTGGCCTCCCCAGGAGGTCATGGCCACTCCTGGCTCCTGCTGCCTGAGTCTTTTTTCTTTCTTATTTTCTTGATAAACCTTTTGCAATGAAGACAACAAAGGCATGTTTTTTTTTGTTTTGTTTTGTTTTTTGTTTGGATCCCAAAGGGATTGAGGGTGGGGGAAGGATGAAACCCTAAGTGTCCCTGGGAGCTCTTAGACTGTGAGGTCATGGTGGGCACAAAACCTCTAAAGCTGGGGGGAGGACTGTGTTGATGGCAGGTGCTAGCTGGGAGCTAGAGGTGGACGTGGACCCCAGCTGGACACACATCCTTCCCAGACCTCACTCTCCCCATTTCTCAAATGGGTGGAGTCCTGCTGGGGTTCGGCTGTGCTGCTCAGTGATCTAGGGCTGAGCTTGCATGAGTGAGGGAGAGGATGCCTGCTCCAGGACAGTCTAATTGATGGGGTTCTTCTCCCCAGGGAGGCATGCCCCAGCCTGGCCCCCAGGAAAGCCCTGGTCCAGGAGAGGTTGGGGGGAGGGACTTGGAAACCGTATCGTTCCCCAAGCAGTCCAGGGCACCCAGTCCTGTGGTGGCTTCTGTGTTAGGCACTGAGGAGAACTGCCCCCGCCCCCCCCAGCTGGGCCCTCAGCAGTGTCCCAATTAGGATGAGCAGGAATCAGTTTCCATGTGGGAAGGAGGGGTGCTAGTCAAACCACGGTTCTCTTTTGGGGCAAGGGGAACTTGGTGGGAGGATAGGGCTGGCAGGGTCTGGGCCTCGGGGGGCTTTGACCAGGCCGGGGCCCAGGGAGCTTATAGTAGTGAGAGGGGTAAGGAATGGCGGGTACGGTGGGGAAGGGGCAGCAAAGGCTCCTCATTCAGGGCAGAGCTTCCTCAGAGGAACTTCTGGAATGGGCCCCTGGCCCTGGGTCAAAATTAGCTCAGATTTGGGACTTTCTGTGGAATTTTCCCCTCTCTCCTCCCTGCCCTCCTTCCTTCATTTTCCAACCCACCCAAGGACCTTCCCTCCTTAACCTCTTCGCAGCTTTGACCTCCAGGCCGCCTTTGTAGATGGTACTCTTGAGCACAGTGGGGGAGGCTCCTTACTGAGGTCAGTCTGGGGAGGGGTGGTGGAAACGCCTTTCTTAACCCACAGTGCCTGGAAAGTCCCCTGTTTATGCTTCCTGCCCTGGGAATAGTATTACTCTCTTGTGTCCCATCCTTAGTGTGAGGGAGGCGGTCTGACACTTTACTCAGGAGGGCTTGGACCTGGGAGAAGAGTCCAGAAGTGAAGTGTTGGGATGGGCCAGGTCTACTGTGGGCATCCTGAGATAGCTAGGCTGGGGCAGGCTTCTATGTAATGGGGAGTGAGGATGTCACAGCCATTCCCTCAGGTTTCTTTCTCTCTGTGGGTTGGGGTATTGGCGGGGGGGAGTTTGAGATCGGTCTGGGTTGACCAGAGCCCCTCAAAGGAGGGCCCTGGGGGACCAGTTGGGGGAGGCGTGGGAGCATCCTGGTGGTGGCAGGGCCTGCTGCCTGGCCTCAGTCACTTGCCAGGCAGATGTTCCAGACAGAGCTGGGCCCGGCTACCTCCAATACCCTCCCTCACTTTGCTGTGAGGGGGGTGGAAAACAAGGCCCCTCTTTCTGCCCTGGGCAGCTGTCAGGACCTGGGGGTGGGGGGGATCTGAATCTCTGATCCCCAGTCTTGGTCCAACCCACGAAAGGAGTCGGCTTTGTGGCCACATGTGGGGGTTGGGGATGGAGGCAGCCCTCAGATCCTGCATCTGTTGCCTCCCGGACACACAGGAGGGCCATGAACCACCATGCCACAGCTCTGCCACGGCTGTGCCACTCCTGGAGGGGAGGCAGGCAGACGGGTGGCTCCAGAGCCCTCTCAGCACCTCTCCTCCATCCCGTGGCACCGCTGCGCTCTCATCCACACGTCCACGAAGTCACAGGTGGAGCTGCCCAAGCCCAAGCAGCCACAGCCACATGCAGCCACACACCCTGCCCACGGGGACATGGGCCAGCCCTGGCCGTCCGCACACAGATGCACAGTCACATGCTTGCACAGGGGCACTCCCAGCCACGGCGCCAGCCACGGCACATGTTCACAGCCATGGCTGCACACGCATCATCTCTTCCCAGCACCGGTCACATCGTGTCCCCACGCATAGCCGTACTGCAGTCCTACCTGCACAGAGTGACACACTCAGACACACGGCCACAAGTCACACACGCTCAGAGCAAAGGTGTCACGTGTGTTGCTGCTTCTAGATTGCACCCGCGCCACCTCGTGGGGGAGCCAGTGGCATCACCTGTCATCTGACACTGGCGCTGTCCAGATGGGGAACCCGAGGTCTGGTAAGGGGTGGCACCTGGTTGTGTCACCCGAGGGTGTTCAAGGGCTTGAGCCTAGCCCCGGGTAGCTCTGCGGCCAGTCCCCAGGGCCAGTCCCTCCTGCCTCATAGGCCCCTGGCTGAACCCACCCAACAAAGCGCCAGGCCTCTCCTATCTGTCCAGCCAGAGCTGAGCTGCGGCCTCAGCGTGCATGTGAGCCGGGGCCGGGACGCAGTGGGCAGGGCCCAGGCCTGGGCGGGAGGAACATTCCTGCACCATCTCCTCCCCAAGCATGCGAGGACTGGGCCCGCCCTGCCTGCCTGCCCGCTGACTCAGGCCTCCAGGAGCCAAGCCCGCTTGTCCCCCACCCCCTCGACCTGCTTCCCTTCCAGTTCAGCTCCAGTAGGGCTCCGTGGGCTGGGGTAGGAGACGAGGAGCCCTGGCAAAAACCACGGAGAGAAATGAAAATTCACCTCCCCCAGACGGCGCTCAGCAGAGCTGATTGTGAAACCCAGTCCCAGGTTTCAGGATAGTTTAGCGCAAACCTTTTTTCCTTTGGTTTTGTTTTGTTAGTCAAACCCCAGTGCAGTCCGGGCTGTTGAAAAAGCAAGTCTCACATAGCTGTGACCTCCTTGGTCCTCACAGCAGCCCTGGTAGGCGGCATTGTTCCATTTCACAGATGAAGGGACTGAGGCTTGGCTAGAGCGAGGATGGGCCCAACCTGGGATCGCACAGTGAGACCCAGGTGGAGCTGGACTCGAACCCAGTTCCTTGACGTCTTTCCTCAAAGTCTTGATTGACTCACTTAGGTCTGAAGGAAAGGGTTCTGGCAGAGCTCCACTCCAGAGGTGAAAGAACGGGAGCCTGGCAGACCCAACTGCTGAAACGTGAAGGGGCTGGCGGGTGTGGTGAGTCCCGCCAGCGCCCAGGGACGAAGAGGCTCACCACAGCCCTGCACAGTGGCCACGGCCTTGACCCAGGATCTCCCTTTACACATGAACGTGCGTGAGGAGCATCGCCTCATTTCTCTGCAACTGACCAGAACTTCTTTGTTGCATTCTCATTCCCTCACATGTAGAAAAGGAATCTCAAATCAATCTGGGGACCCCTCCTTTCAAAGATTTGGGGATGGCACATTGGAAGACGGTGGGCAGGCCTCTGGCACTTTGAATTTTAGAGGCTGAATCCCACACCCTATCACACACATGAAAATTTGCCTGCCTTCCACATTAAAGGTCATTCATATACACCTGTTTCAGTTGGGTTCA